TTAAGCGTAAGGGGTAGCACATGCCGAATAACGACTGTGCAAATGTCAGGTAGCCCATGGAGCAACGCAGTATGGGGAGTGGGCCTTGACAGAGCCAGGGAGTGGGCATGGGCTTAAGTTTGTGGGAAGGGTTTTGGGAGTGATGTTTTGGGGGGTGGAGAGTAGGGATATATAGAGCGGCCATATTAGAATAGGGGCCATTTTAACTGGAGCCTCTCTTACCTGTAGATTGTCCCACCCTCCCTCCCTAGTTTTCAGTTCCGCTTGGTCACAGCGGCGGAACAGGGCGGTGTATATATTGGAACTTGCGTGGAATTGGAAATGGACAGGCCGAGGTTTAGGCCGGATGGAGTTAAGGATTGGTTGGTTCTAGCTCTTTGGTGGCTACGAACCTGGGGGTGTAGGGGTGTCCGAGGTATACCCCTACAGTTAACTGGACGATATGGGGCCTCTTTGGTAGGCCGTGTGTTTCAAGTTATGTTATTTGTTGTTATTTATTGTTTAATTGCTAGGGTCATTGTCAGGGGTACTGTGTGGGGGTATAGTAACATAATGTCTAGTAGGACAATGACCCTAGATTATGTTAATTTATTATAATTAATTAATAAAGCTGTGGACTTTATACTCCAACAGAATTATCGGTGTCAGTGTTTTATTTAAGCGTAAGGGGTAGCACATGCCGAATAACGACTGTGCAAATGTCATGTCTCCTCTCCCAGTAACAAGCCAACTGCCGATGGGAAAGGAGATCAGCTATCTTCGCTCCTGATGTTGTACCCTGTTGCTGGGAGGGGAACTGACCATCGCTGCTTCCGGTGAGACCAACTGCAGCTGGGGAAGAGGACCGACTGTCTCCGCTCCCTGTAAAACAAACTGCAGCTGGGGAGGAAGTGGAGTGGCCAGGGTCCCCCTGCCACAGGGGTGAGGTTCTGGGCCGGCTACCCAGCATCCCTGTGATTCAGATGTGGACACATCCTCCCAGATTAGTTGCACCACCTTTGTTGTTGGGCCGCTGCAACATTCCTTTCGCTGGAATCCTCCACCCACAGTCTCTGACATCACCTTCGCCAACTTGAACTTGTATTCTCACCTGGCTTGTAAAACAGCGGCCACTTGGGTTGTGACTGCCCTGACTGTCTCCACCGAAACATCAAGTCAAAAAAAGGACAGTCGCTCCTCTAGAAGGAACTCCGAGTAAGAGTCATAGGACGACATGCTTGCCTGGTCCAACTCTGCAGGCACTCACTTCCAGAAGGCATGCAAGGATCCCAGGAATTGTTTCCTTATTCGCTAGGAAGTCATCCCACTGCTGCCACCAGTTGTAGTGGAGCTGTAATCCTGAGACCGAATATCTCCATTGAATTCCTCTGGAGATGGCAGAGAAGTGCTGTTCAGTGATTATAGCCCATTTCCCCAGTAGCTGGACGACACACAGTTCTGGGAGTCAACTGAGGTTTAATATCCCACACTATACCTTTTATGCACAGACCCCCAGCATGGGGTTTCCATAGTAAAAAGTACAAACTCCTCCCAGACGTCTTTGTGTCTGGGAGATATATGAGTCAATGGAAGGCTAACTCAATTATCTCTCAGTCACAGGAAAACATACAATTCTACACAAAATACCCCAAAAACATATCAAAATTATACACGAACCCCACAAATCTTATATCCCCGAATAGCCCGGATCTGAGTGCCCAAGTTGTCCAAATAGCGCTTAGATCCATTAGGTAGATTGGAATCGCCATTTGGGTAAAGTTTTGACTGGCCGGCAACACGGTGATGATCCAAAATAGTTCCAGAGAATTGAGGGCAACGGCCGGTCTGCTTTCAGAGGTTTCTACTGGCTCTTAGGGAGTGAATGCTATTACCCCTGCAAACTCTACAGACTCTGTACCCCATACAGTCCCTATACCCACTACAGCCCTTTTACCGCATGCACAAACCGCATGCCTATATATTCCTTACAGCCCTTATTATTATTATATTATTTATATAGCGCCATCAGATTCCGTAGCGCTGTACAATACCCCACTACACCTCCTATAGTCCCTATATCCACTACAGTCTCTATATACCATGCACCCACTACAGCCCCCATAACCCATAAAACCACTAGAACCCCTGCAGCCTCTACACCCACTACAGCTGATATACCAACTACAGCCCCTATACTCGCTGCAACCACAACAGCCTCCTACAGCCCCTAAACACCTGCATCCACTACAACCCTATATCCACGAAAGCTCCCATGCCCACTACTGCCCTTTTTCCCTGCACCCACTGCTGCCTTTATTGCTGTCTGCACTTACTACAGCCCCTATCCTCCTGAAACAACCACAGTCCCAATGCCTCCCCTGCAACTACCACAGTCCCTATCACTCCCCTGCACCCACTGTAGCTTCTATTTCCCCTTGTCCCCACTGTAGCTTCTATTACCCCTTGTCCCCACTATAGCTTCTATTACCCCCTGCCCCCTCTATAGTCACTATTTCCCCTTACCCCCACTATAGCCCCTATTATTCGCTGCCCCCACTATAGCCTCTATACCCAATACAGCCTCTGCCCCGACTACAGCCCCTATAACCACTACAGTTTCTATGCCCCATCACCCACTTCAGCCTTTATTCCCCTGCCCCCACGGCAGCCCCATGTCCCCTGCACCCACTACAACACCCCACAGTTTTTATCTACTTAAAGGGAAACTATAGTGCCAGGAAAAAAAATGTTTTTTTTCCCTAGCACTATAGCTTCCTAAAGTCTCCCCCTCCTTTACAGGGTTAAGGGACCTGGGACACTGTACCTAAACCACTTCAATGAGCGGACGTGGTCTGGGTGCCTATAGTGTCCCTTCATAGATACTCTGTATTTCGTGTTAGGATATGAGGATTCAAAGGCATACATATATTCACTTACAGTAAGTATACACAAACATACATTCACTTTAAATGCAAATACAAGGTACATCTACAACAGTATATATATATCTCTGGAGGGGGCCCAGGTCCTAATTTTGCCCGAGGGCCCAGGACTCTCTCAGTCCACCCCTGGTGGCAACCCATGGAAAGCAGTCGAGTTAATCATTTAATTGCGGTTAACAGCCAGGGGTGGTCAGTGTTCTGAGAGCTAATAAACTGGGGGATACGCAGAAGTTTGGGAAATTTGGAGATAGAGTCGGGCAACCAAAGGGAATTTTGCAAGGTCCGCCACAAGGTGTTCCCAAGCCCTCAGCCATTCCTCCAAATAAGAATACCTACCAACCCCACTCACGCCAATAATAGTGGGGGTGGGCAATAATACATATATACTTATCATAAGACATCTTCTTTCATCTTAAAACTTTTTTTTTCAACTCCAAAAAGGTAACAAAAACAAAATAAAATCCATAAAGTCCAAAAGTCTGTAAGAACAGAAAACAAAATAATACAAGTTGGGCTCTGGGCAGAATTTACGTAAAGGGAAAATGGCAGTCTGCATCAAGTGGCTCATGGTTATTTTTAAGGTGTTGATTTTTTTACATTTTTGGTTCTTGTCGAAAAACAGTCAATAAGACGATGACTATCGACATTTAAAGATAATACAATTAAACTGAGGTCTAAATTAGATATTATCCATAAATCCATTTTCCTGTTAAGCCATGCAATGCCCATATTAGTGACACCTTCTGGCCATTTGCTTATTTATTAGTTACGTTAGTGGCATTATACATTTATAGGTTATTATATACACTGTATGAATGTATCTGTGTGAGTCTTTAGATATGCATATAAAGAATTAAGAGATGAATGAATAGGCGAGAACCAGCATGTTCTGATATTACAACGGTTTGCCTGAATATGAGCTGCCCTGTATCTTGCCAGATCTAGTGCGCTGAACATAGTGTGAGTGTGTCTTATAAGGCTCTCGTGCGTTGATTGATGAGGACAGCTCCTTGGCGTCCCCAGAAGCAGGACACCAAAGGCAGGACGCCAAAATCGGTACTGTTCCCCTGAAATTGGTATGTTTGAGAGGCGTGTTAATGTAAGGTAAGGGTTAATGCTGTTTTAGGGTTAGTTTAGGGTTACATTTTGAGATAGTTATGGTAGGTGTACAGTTTACTAAACTAGAGCATTTTAACTACCAAAAACGGAGAAAGCCGTAGATACCGGTGGAACAAACAGTTGGTTTTGGACAATTGTGTCCATCTATAACGGGTTAAAGTGATGTTTTAGCACACGTGCGCTCTTTGTAAGTGTTTACATTGTGTAATTATTAACAATCTGTGTTTGTAAATAGCACGTGGCTGCGTTCAGAGTGAAATACTTTAAAACACTACATGGTGCCAGTGCTCTAAATAAAATAAAATACACCGCACAGGCGGGCTACAGTGACAAACTGCAGGGAATCCGTTATTGGAATTCAAAGATTTGAGGCCAAAATAGCCAAACTGGAATAATTCTCCCATTTGGCTGCGCTTTCAGTTCAGCTACTTTGGCCTCAAATTAGAAATTCCCTTTAAATTCCAAGCAATTATTACCCAAAAAAAAAAAAATTTAAAAAGAGAAAAAATAAATAAATATATATATATAAAAATAAAAAGTGGTAGGCGTGGCCTTATATTTGGGACACGCCCACCTATATATCTATTGTTACACCGATGACGTCACATGCCGGCCGGCTTTGACGGGTGCGGCCCTCAAAGCCCTCGTTTCCCAAGACATGTGATGTGCGGAGGGGGCGGGGCCCAAGCGTCCAGCGAACAGACGTCTTCCGCCAATCAGCTGCTGGGGAAGAAGCTAACGTGAGAAGCCGCGTAGTCCCCGCCCAACCGCCCTGGGCGTCCAATCGTGTCGCAGATTGAAGCCTGCGGACCCGCCCACTTTGCCCGCTCGTCAGCCAATGCCGAGCGCGCCGGGCCTGCGCATTACCGCGGCAGGGTGGGGCCTGCCAGACGAGCGCACCCGCCGCACAGCAGACAAAGGGGTTGGCCCGCGGGAGCGCACACGGCCAGGGTACGAGGAGGGGAGGCAATAACACCATGCAGGAGCTCCGGGGGGAGGAGGACCTGGCCGAGCAGGGCCCCCGGGGGCCACCTGGAGGTGAGGTCGAGGAAGAAGTACCGAGCTCCCGGGGGCCACAGAGGAAATGTCTGGAGCAAGACCCCGGCATGGAGCCTGGCCCTCAGCTGGACAGCCAGGGCTCCCAGGAGCCAGATATGTGTGGTGGCGCCCAAGGTGGTGAAACAGGTCGCCAAGAGCGCCTGGGGAGCGATACTGGCGACTGCTGCAGCTCTCCCCAGTGTCCCAAAGAGACCAGCAATAGCCAAATCCATCCCTGCCTATGGACAGAGCACAGTCTGAGTATAGGCATTCAGGAAGCAGCCAATTCATGCACAGACCAACAGCCTGGCAAGAGCCATCAGGAGCCAATGAGTAATAATCTTGGCTCCCAGGAGCCCACTCAGAACGTGGGGCCACACACACCATGTGTGCAGTTAGGCTCTATGGAGCCTCCACTCAGGCTAGCCTTTCAAAATAATCTGCAGGAGCCATTTAGCCTCCAAAAGCCCCCTCTTCCTATTTCAGGACTTCGGAAGCCACTCAATTTGGGGCCATCAGACATTAGGGCTATATCTTCTACTGAAATGCCAATTGGTCACCGGCCTGGCTCCGAGTCGCATGTCCAGTTCGGGCAAGAAGAGCTCCCCGACGAGGAGTTCCCGTTGCTCGTGGACGCGTTCTCTGTTTTGGGACTGCACGAGGAACATGACGAAGAACCGGAGTTTGAAGGAGCGATGTCAAGAACTCCTAGCCCGGAGTCTGAAGATCTGTTTAGAGAGATGACGATGGAGCACTTGCTGAGCTGTGGACTCGGAGTACGGAGGAGAGGCGTTAACATGACCGAAGGCGTACCGGTACCCAGTTCTGAACATGTGGCAGAGATAGTAGGACGGCAGGGTATGTATATGTTTTGTAGTTATATATGTGAAGATGTTGCATTAAATACTTTTTATTCCAGCCAAGTGTCCCTAATAAGTTTTATTAAAACTCTGCCACCCTCAACAGTACCACGAATGCCAGCGACAACTTGTAGTACTCTCAATGGAACGGTCACCAACCCAATTCTGATTTTTGAAAAAAAAAAGTCCTCAAAGTGTAATTCAATTTCTCCTTGAAGTACACTTTCAATTGGCTGAAAGACTGCGTAAAGATACGTTGTTTTGGAAATACTCACAAATCAGAAACTGGCTTATTAGCCAAACATTGCTCAAACCATAGTCGGTGGGCCACCAGTGGTTTCCTGGTTGATAGGTTTCCCTTATTTTTGTTTTTAGAGAAAATGTGTGTGTGTGTGTGAAGCCAGGTGGTGTAGCATCTGCGTAAAATTTTTATTTTACGCAGATGCACGCAAGCTGCCCCAGTCTCTGACAGTTGTTAGATCTGGTTTGGATTAAATTTGTAGAGGAGACCCAAACCCTATCTTCTGTAGTGGTTGGCTGATGCTGACCGCACTGTTGCTCAGTTTGATCAGATATCATTCGATGTGTTTTGCTTTCCATGCTACACACGACAGTGTAGTAAGCATTCTTAAAGGGGAAGATTCACTTCTATAACGACACATTGAACATTAACCTATAATTTATGCGTTTTAAATTGGTGCTCCATTTTCCTTTACAGGTGTAATAATAATTTAGCAATTCACATGAGCCAGTGTGTGTACCAGCTGATTCCAGAGTGATTGGCCCACTTTAGAGTATGTTTCTCCTGTTTCATTACTAAAAGGTGCAAAGGGCAGATCTTATAACATTGATAAGGAGCCTAGAGGGGCAGCATTTAAAGAGGTGAGGAGGTCCCTGGGCACCGGCTTACTCAAGAGGTTAAAACAGTGGTTCCCAAGCCAGTCTCAAGGCACCCCTACAATTCCAGGATTTAGTGATTACCCAGACATCTTGGACACAACTGGGTAATCCCTAAATCCTGGGTTGGTAGGGGTGCCTTGAGAACTGGTTTGGGAACCACTGTGTTAAACGGTTAAAGGAACACTATATAGTGTCAGGAATACAAACATGTATTCCTTACACTATTATTGTAAATACTGTTTAGGTTTCCGGCCTGCTTTGCTTACTTTAAAAGTGTTTTACTCTCCTTTCTTCCAGTGCACCCTCTGCCTCCTTGGCTGAGATCATCAGATCTGTCAACCTCAGCCACTGCAGTGTTTTCCCATAGAAAAGCATTGGGACGCTATTGAGCATGCGCGGCAAAACGCCACACTGCGTCAATCACCATTTCCTTATAAAGATGTGTTGAATCAGCACATCTTTATGGGGAGTGTTCAGCTGAAAGTCAGTGCTACACTGGTCATCTGAATGACTGCCACTAGAGGTGTTCCTAGCCAGTAATGTAAACACAGCCTTTTCTCGGAAAAGGCAGTGTTTACATTATGAATAGTGCAGGCACAGAATAACTACATTAAAGGACCACTATAGGCACCCAGATCACTGCAGCTTAATGAAGTGGTCTGGGTGCCAGGTCCAGCTAGGGATAACCCTTTTTTTTTTTTTTTATAAACCTAGCAGTTTCAGAGAAACTGCTATGTTTATGTTAGGGTTAATCTAGCCTATAGTGGCTGTCTCTTGACAGCCGCTAGAGGTGCTTGCGTGCTTCTCACTGTGAAAATCACAGTGAGAAGACACCAGCGTCCATAGGAAAGCATTGAGAATGCTTTCCTATGGACTGGCTGTGTGTGCAGCTTTTGCCGCGCATGCGCATTCAGGCGAATAGGAGGAGAAGAGCTCCCCGCCCGGCGCTGGAAAAAGAGGTAAGTTTAACCCCTTCCTCTCCCCAGAGCCCGGCGGGAGGGGGTCCCTGAGGGTGGGGGCACCTTCAGGGCACTATAGTGCCAGGAAAACGAGTATGTTTTCCTGGCACTATAGTGGTTCTTTAACCCCTTCAGGACGGAGTCAATAGTACACGTTCTCATCAAAACAAAATGTAAACAAAACCTTGAATTTGTGCTATATATCTGTTCAGGCGTAATTCACCTCTTTCATATTATGTGCACCCACACTTATTATATATCATTTTGTTCAGGAGAAACAGGGCTTTAATTTATCATTAACTATTCATATATGGAATATAATTTATTATAAATAGAATTTAAAAAATGTGAGAAAATACGATTTTTTTTTTTCCTTTTTTTTTTTAAATTTGTATTTCCGTCTGACATTTTAGCTGTTAATGTCATAAAATGCACATATTTGTAATCAGCAATGTCTCACAAGTATAACGGTACCCCCCATTAACAGGTTTTATGGTGTTTTGGAAAGTTACAGTCAAATATAGAACGTTCCATTTTCAAATTGAAATTTGCCAGATTGAGACGGTGTGGTAGCCCAGGAATGAGGATTACCCCCATAATGGCATATCATTTGAAAAAGTAGACAACCCAAGGTATTGAAAGTGGGGTATGTTTAGTCTTTTTTAGTAGCCACTTAGTCATAAACACTGGCCAAAGTTAGCGTTCATATTTGTTTTTGTGTGAAAAAAGCAAAAAACTAATATTTGGCCAGTGTTTGTGACTAAGTTTCTACTAAAAAAAAGACTGGACATACCCCACTAAAATACACTTTGTATGACGTTACATATATATTGTGTGTGTATATATATATATGTATGTATATATGTGTGTATATGTATATATGTGTGTGTGTATATGTGTATATATATATATATATATATATATATATATATATATATTATAATTTTTTATTTTTTTATTTTACACATGTATGTGTTTTTTTTTTTTATTTATTTATTTTTTTTTTTTTAACATGTCCCCCTGCTGGCAGATCCACAGCCAGCTATAGGGGGCCTCATTTGCCGGGGGAGGACTGCCTGGGCTGTCAGGCAGCCCTCCCGAAGAGTATCGCGGCGGAGGTGAGTATGCCGGACCTCCTGGGGGCTTAAGCCGTTACGGCGTTCTATGCCGCGACGGCATAGAACGCCATTAAGGGGTTAAGCTCTAGTTGTTCTGGTGACTATAGTGTTCCTTTAACGGTTTAACAGTAGCGCTGATCAGTTACTTCCATTGCAATACGTGACTTGAATCAGAATGCCCTGAGGACCATTGATGGGCTGTGAGCATCAGTAGCTCCCCAGTCACAAAACTGAGTGATAATACTTTTGTGAATAAAGCTTGTAAGACAGCAGTGGAAGTAGCTAGGAAGCTGATGGGCACTTTGCTCCATAACAATCTCCTTCAGATAAAGTTGTTATGGTGCCTGGAGTGTTCTTTTAGTTTTAATTTTCACATGTTAAATGCAGAGTATAAGTAAACCTAATGTGAATTAAGGTAAACGTTTTTTCTTTATAATGGCTTAAAAGGAGATGGTTAAAATGATTCCTGGTTTCTAATGCATTATTTAGGTAATGCATCTGAAAATATGCCACAGTAATGATTTAAAATTAAACAGGAACTGTAATGTCCTTAATTTTAGCATCTGTTAGCTATTGGTTGTGCCAAAAATAAATTTAAGAAAAGTCTTTTCTGTGTGCTTTAGCACAGTATGTAAATTAGTTAGCTCCTGCAGGGCTGTACACATCAAAAATGTGTGTGTATATGAAGCCGCTGGAGAAAACGCCCGAGGTTTCACGCAATAGCGAAATAGCCACAATGCGGAGGAACGGTTGAGATTTGTGTATCCCCCTTCACTCCTTACCTCTGCAGCAGTTTTCATCTCTTTAAACTCTGATATATTTTACGTGAATGGAGTGAGAAACTCACTACTGTGGATGTTCGTTCCAATTTAAATATTATACTTATTTTCAAACCTCTGTAACTTCATTGAAGAGCGTTCCATCCTTGACCAAGAAGAGGTTCAATCAATCAGTGACCTCATTCTGTTCTGTGGGGTCTGATATTACACACAGTTCTACTCATCACAGAATGAGTGAAACTGCTGCTCAATAAACTGATGGGTATATGGCAATTGCTATGAAATACACAGCTCGCATTTTTGACCTGGACTGTGTGTCTCATTCGGCAGTCATTGACTACACATGTGCGTGACTCTGCTTTCTCTGAGCACTAGAAAGATCCTTCTAACTTGTGCATGTGGTGTCCCGATGCTGCACACATAAGTTAGATGAAATTGGTTGACGACTCCTTTTCTGTGTCTGGGAGTCTAGCTTATAGCTGTAGCAATTGTTACAAATCTTTTAGTTATGAGGCAATCTCTGCATTATGAACTCTGATGACTAAAGGGTTAAACACCAGTCCCTCAGCAGTGGATCAGTGTCCCACCCCAGTGATGTCACACCGATGGGAGAACAGAATGCGTGTCGTGTGCTGCATGCGCGTTAGAGCTTCCCCATAGAAAATCATTAAATAAATGCTAAGTGGGAAGACGTCCAACATTGTTTCACACAGTAATAATCTGTGAAAATCCAGGAAGTGCCTCTAGTGGTGGTCTGGAATGACAAAAAAAAACAACTCAGTTTATGAAAAGAAAAATGAATTAGATTTTTTTTTTTTTTTTTCTGCATGTATGTGACCATATATAAGAGCGGCAGAAAGGCAGGATCAGAGATGGCTAGTTTCTTATATCGATCGACCTAAACCTTCCAAGTACTGAAGCAACCCATAGAAAAATTGTGAAATACAATAAAGTAAAACATAACCTTTAATAAACGACTATTAAAACTAACATTCTAATGGCTATAGGTGCTATATACACATGGAGGGGAGGGGTGTTTGGCTAGAAGGTACAAGCATAAATAGTACCTGGGGAAACTGGAGGGGAATACACAAGTTATCTTAAAGATGCAAAAATCCAAATAGGTGCATAGAAGTGCACCCTCCCATAGTGTTATCAAAAAACCAAAAGTCTCCAATCCCCAACTCCCCATGCCGAAGTCTAAAAAGGTCAGACCTCTAACCCCTTGCTAAATGTCTAGCCATTACTGACTGATAGCTGGATCTCACTGACCGATACCAGCTAATAGAGCAGTATCGCCAGATCAATATCACTTAGTTAAAAACATATAGCATGGTGGGTAGTCATAGAGATGAAGTATATAGTAGCTTCAGCATCCCCTATCTAACCATGCCACCCACTGCTAAAAGTTGTCCTGATGCACGTTTCGCCGAATACTGGCTCTACCTGGAATAGCCCTTAGAATTTTAGTTTTAATAGTCGTTTATTAAAGGTTATGTTTTAACTTATTGTATTTCACTATTTTTCTGTGGGTTGCTTCAGTACTTGGAAGGTTTAGGTCGATATATATATAAAACTAGCTTTCTTTGATCCTGCCTTTCTTTCCGCTCTTATATATTTCCACAAGGGGTTATCCCCCACACATAATCAGCAACCTGACACACACTCTCCCTACCTGTATCTATATTTTGTATCTGATCATATTTTATTTTTTGTTTTTGTAGGCTGTAAAATTAAAGCTTTGAGAGCGAAGACGAATACTTATATCAAGACTCCAGTAAGAGGAGAAGAACCCGTCTTTATTGTGACTGGCCGGAAAGAGGACGTTGAGATGGCGAAGAGAGAAATCTTGGCAGCAGCTGACCACTTCTCTATCATCCGCGCAACTAGAAACAAAAATAGTGCGATGGCAGGAGGCTCCCAGGGACCACCAAATCTGCCAGGTCAAACCACCATCCAAGTCCGCGTTCCTTATCGTGTAGTAGGGTTGGTGGTTGGTCCCAAAGGGGCCACAATCAAAAGAATTCAACAGAGTACTCACACATACATTGTAACTCCTAGCAGAGACAAGGAACCTGTCTTTGAAGTCACAGGAATGCCTGAAAATGTAGACCGAGCACGTGAAGAGATAGAGGCTCACATCACTATGAGGACAGGTTCCGTAATAGACATCCATCCAGATAATGACTTTCACTCCAATGGCACAGATGTCTGTATGGACCTATTTGGTAATAGCTCTGCTGCTCTTTGGGCAAAGGTTAATGCTCCTCGACGAGGATCTGCAGCATCACGCAATGAGACTCTGGGCAGTACTTCTTCAGAGAGTTCATGTTATGGAACAGGCAGAGAGCAGGGACCAGCAAGCCCATTTAGGCCAGTCCTGGGGGGAGGCTTCACACTAGGGGAACAGCACACTGTACCAGCTGCCATAAGCACAGAAGATTGTGAATTTGGCTTTGAGTTTCTGTCTTTGGATTTGAACACACCCACTGCTATTTGGTCTCCATTTGAAACATCCAGTGGACAGGTGCAGAACTTCAGTGGTTGCTCAGCACAGAGGCGAAATAGTGGTTTGAGTGTCAATTCCACATCTCGAATTTCACCTACCCTCCCTGAACCAGCGGTTGGGCTAGAACATCCATTAGCACGCAGAATTCACAGCGATCCAATTAATGGTATCTCTTGGCTGGCCACACAGGGCTCACTGTCCTCTTTCTCCAGCAGCACTGGCTATTCCTCGTCTTCCTCTTTGCCAGGCAGCTCATCTGTGGCCTCTGGATCTCCCACAGACTCGAGCAGCTCTGATGGCCAGCGCAAAAGTGGTCGAGACTGCGTTGTATGCTATGAGAGCGAAGTCATCGCAGCGTTGGTGCCATGTGGGCACAATCTTTTTTGCATGGAATGTGCAATCAGGATTTGTGAGCGTGCCCTCCCAGAATGTCCAGCCTGTCATACCCCTGCTACACAAGCCATCCGCATTTTCTCCTAGCTGCATATAACTAGTAACACTAGCCCAATGAAAAGTCCAACCATATAACCCTTTCTTGGGCTCATATTTTACCCATTCATGACTGTTATATAAACTCTATTAAATAATACATTAAGCATTCGGGCTGCTGGAAGCAACCTGGGCAAGAATAACGTGGTGAGCTGGTTCTTGGTGCTGAGGGAGGGCAGATTATGTTTAACCTTACAAGAACTATAAGATTTACTTAAAATGTTTACAGAACAACCTTAACTTTTATCCCTCTCCTCAGGCAATGTCTTCAAAGTGGAGACACCTGTTGATCACAAGTAGCTCACACTACTTTTGGACCCCACCCCTCCTCCTTTTTACCCCAACCAGTATTCAGTTTTAAAAACATTAATAAACTGAAAGATATAGTAAGTTGCACTTTTTATCTTTTTTAATAAACTGAGAAATGGGGACAAGCAAATAATACATTATATAGTTAAGTATTTATAAATATATATATATATATATCTATTTCTCTTTAAAGTGCTAAGTCTATGATTTATTTTAGATGTTCATTCTACAAACTGTAGGCTATTTTAACCAATGCAGAACAGGAAATTGGCAAAGTTTCACCCTGCCTTTAATTCTGCATGACAATAGAAAAAAGTTTAACCCCTTGATTATCAGAGGGTAACTGCATCATTTACTCCCTTGTTATCGAAATATTTTAGACTGTATTTTCATATTTTTCTGTTCTGTACCAGAATTAAACATATTTCATGTATGAATTTTTCAACACTACCTGCCCATAGGACTAGATCACAAGATGTGTTCAACTACAGGTCCCCCATTGTTATAAAAGAGAATAATGGATGTTTAAAACATTTGGAGGATTACCTTTTGGGCAACCCCGAGCTTAGAGTATGTTTGCATTGGGAACACATTCTTGATACTGCTTGCTGCGTTCTCTTGTGGCTAAAGTCAAACAATAATTACTGTATAAGAAATGTGCTTTCTAATGTTGGACCTCACCTTTACGTAGAGCTTTTTGGAGGTCTAGAAGTTAGCATTGGTAATTGGCTCAGTCATTCTACTAATATGTTTGTTTGCTCAAGTGAGACTTAAAAAACATAATACCTCTACTCTTTAAAGCTAGAGTATCATATCTGTTTTTTAAAACATTAGGAGTATTGCAGACTTGCAATACATTTCAGCCTTTGCTCATGTCTTTGTTTCACGTGCGCAACAGAAATATTAAAGCAAAGAAGCCAGAGGAGTTTAATGCAAAAAAAAAAAAAGTTGGGGTTCTTTAGACTGTCACCCCCCAAAACAAAGGTTTATTCATTTACATTTTTTGGTTATCATTCTAGTGGTCTTTGAGAAATGCAACGTTACTTGCCACATACTATAACATAGTCTGTTTCAGTTTTGAAAGCCTTTGGCTTATCAGAGGCCTGCTTAGTTAAAGGGGCTTGCTAACGGCCGTAACCACTAGAACATATAGCAGTGGTTATAGTGCAAGGTGCACCTCCCAGTCTTGTTAAATTGTTTCCAATCAGTTTGACAAACACTTGTCACCTAAAGCCACAGCCCCCTTGCTATTAAGGTAACGAGGAGTTTTATTTCCACACTATCATTAATGTTTTGGCAGTCGTAATGGGTTGTGAAAGCCAGGATTGGCATGGCACATAATTTCCATTTTGTTTCCTTGCTTATTTTTAACACACATTTTGTGTAGGTTAATATAACGGTTGTCTAACTTATTACTTTCTGATATCTATAGCATTTTTGAGCTCAGGCAGATTTTGCTCTGCCACATTAAGTGCACAACACTTTTTTTTTTTTTCCATAGCTTAGTAAGTTTTGATAGCTCTTGTAAAATACATTTCAAATAACCTGTTATTGGAATAGTTATTGTGCTATCTACAGCTGTACCTACATACCCACATGTCATTTTTTTTTTTTTTTAACCTCCTTTTTCTCCTGATTTTTATGGAAATCAATAAGCCACAGGACAAATTAAAAAAAAAAAAATGCACAAAATAATTAGCCAATTAGAACGAGTTCATCTGTGTACGATAGTTTAAAACGGTTATTTTTGTTTCAGATTTTTTGTTGACCTTATCAAGTCTTATCTGAAATATCATGCTACTCTACCAGTTACCAGTATTTTAAATAAAAATATAAATTCTATCGATAATCTAAAGGTTTTTGTTACTTTTTGCCCACTTATTGGTTGTTTTTATAACATGCTATTTTTGAACACTCATTCTCAAAGTCCATTTATATGTACACTTGGTAGACTGTCTGTGAATTGTTTTGTTAAAGGAACACTCCTGACAAATATAAAATGCACTTTGATTAATCATGGGAAAAGTTTTTATTTTATTTTTATTTTTTGTCCGCCCCCCCACCTTTTTATGTAGTCTCCTGTTGTGCATGAGATTTCAAATTTTTCATTTAATGATTCATCCACACAGTAGAGCAATTCTAGCATGAGCCTATCCGTGAAAAAATAGTTTAATTGCCTAAGTTAAAACTTGCTTCGTCACAACACGACGTGGTAGGATTTCATAAAAATAGAATCTTTATGGAAAATCTAAGTCCAATTAGATTTGTTTTGTCAATATTCGCAGTTGTCGCTAGTGACAAGTGTGGGAATGAGGCTTAATCTGCACTGTGTGAGTTGGTTTATAGAGGATCCTTCATAGACCTCTGGGATGGATGAACTCTCATGCATACAGGGAAAGTTCTACTTTAAAGGTGGCTTCTGGCAGAATAACTAGGATGGTGTCACTGCAAGGGAGAGCTTCAGTTAAATCTATTTTTAGGTTCTCCCCTGGCCTCCGTAGGGATGTTGGCTTCGTGCAAAGACCCTCGAAATTGGAAGCAGCTTTGGGAACATCTTCTCTTTGCCTTGTAACCATTTTCATACATCTGACAATATGAGTTTATAACTTTGCTGGGAACATTTGTATTTTGTTGCAATTTCTTTTGGCCATCAATTGTCTTGCATTACTGGAACCACAGGTCTGGTTAAAGGGACACAGTAGGTACACAGTGCTTAAAATCATTTAAGTGGTTATAGTGTTTGGAGTCACCGGACACCATCTTTTCATTCAATACTGTAATCCAGGGGTGCCAAAAAGGTAGATCCCAAGATGTTGAACTACAACTCTCATGATGCTTTGCATGCCTTTTTAGAATGACAAAGCACCATGGGAGCTGTAGTCTGAAAAAAACATTGGGGGATCTAACTTTTGGACACCTCTGCTCTATTCGGTGTTAAACTATTTTCAAGCAGTTTAACAGTGAATGCAGGGTCAATGCCCGGTGACTCCAGGCACTTTAACCAATCTAATGAAATTAAATTATGGTGCATACAGTGTCATTTTTAATATCTATTTTACAGCCTCGAAATTGATGAAAACCATGCAGTGATTATTGGTCCTGCATCTGTTTACCTGTTGACATTGTTATAGTTCGTATTTTTTTTTTTTTTAGCCAAAAATGGGCAGGTTCCTGTAATTGGCATCTATGTCTGTTTTTTTTTAGTTTTTTTTAATTGTTAAATTGCTAACACGTCAGCTGACACAGACTATATTTTGACACATTCTAAAATTCAAATATAGATATAATGTATTGAAGCAGACGACACTGTCCTCTCTCGTGGTATCTAGTTTAAAGTGATTTTTGTTTTTATTATGTTAACACAGCTGGCATAACTAGCATATATTTTTCATTTATGATTTTCTATGAACTGTTTAATGCGTTCACATGGAAGCACAGATTTAAGTGAGAATTTGGCTGTAAAAGGGATACATACTTGCTTTGTATTTTCCCGTGTTATATGGGCCATCTATTTCTGTTTAACAGTGTTAGTCTGAAAATTGAGAAAGGAGTGTGAATTACATAGTTATAGAATTACCCAGTATAGGATGATTTGTATAGCTTTAAGAACTTTATATGTAAGGTACCAGTGGGTAGTTATGTTTAGTTTAACTCACTGTGAAACTCCTTTATGTATTGAGTAAACTGAATCAAAGTAACTGCCATATGTCTATCAAACATGCCATATTTTTCCATTGATTTTAAGAATTCTGTCTCATGTTTATGTTCATAATTATCAACTTTACGATTCTGTAGTAATCTGAAAGAAGATATATACTCTGTAAACGTACTATTTTGTTTTGCCAGCAATAGTGGCATAACCAAAAAACAAACAAAAACCAAAAGGTCTTTTATGCATTACTAAGCAGGCGGTTTTCAAAACAGAATCCTACATGTGAATCTCCGTTTGTGAAGTGTGAAGTTTGTTTCCTTTTTAGTTTTGTATTTAGATATATTTTTTTATTTCTGCTCCTTTTTGTAGAATATATATATATTTTTCCTTTGATGGGGAGGGGCAAAATTTAAGTCGAAAACATATTATATGTTATTTTAAAGAGATGATGAGCAATGTTTTAACCTTCAACCTGAATTTATTTACATTGACAGAACCCAGCCTTGGGGTACACTGTAAAGAGTTTTATTTTTTTTGTAATGTAAAGCTTTCTTTAATAAAAAAAAAAAAAGTATTGCTAAAACATCTGCTTTTTGTGAATTACATGTTTTGATTTTAGTCAACTGCAATTTGAGGCTAAATGGAATGATTTACACTAGTTCAGAACCTGTTTCAAAAATACATTTGCTGTGGCTATTTATGTGAATATTGCAAACCTTGTATATAGAATAGCACAGATTAAACCTTCATTATTGCAAAACCAAAGAAAACACTCTAAGCACTCCTGTATGCTGTAGTGATTATGGTGTCAGGTGTTCCCTTGCATTGTCTGACACTAAGATATCAAATTGAATACAATGTGTTTTGACACGCATCATGCGGTGTTGGGTGTCCATAGTTCTTCTGGTCTAATCTTATCTAATGCAGTGGAGTTTACCAGTATTTATGCACTTAGAGCTATAATGGTGCTCCGAGCGTCCCTTTTTAGTGTTAATACATTTGATGGGTTTGCACAAACAGGTTATACTGGTAGGTATTGAGGCTGTCTCCTATTGCCTTTTGAATGCAGAACTAAGAGAAAACGGCACATATTTATTATGTTGCTAAACTAAATAGAAGGCTCTGGCATCAAACCACATAACGGTTTTCTATGTATGTCTGCTCATGGAAGCTTCAGAACATTTTATTTACCATTGTAAATAAGAGGCTTAGGCAGCAGAAAAGTGAAGTTATCACTATAGAATGAGCACTTTGATGATAAATACCAAATAAGATAAACAAATACTGAACAGTGTGTGTAAAAAGAATAGGGTTACAAGCATGAGAAATCCTAAATATACCTGTTGTATAAACCTCCATGCAGTAAAGATAGAACCTTGACAAACTTCTCAGAAAAAATGTTTCTAAAAGACTAATAAGAGTGTTCATACATATAAACTCTGGGCTGAAAACAAACACCGGGTCTTTTACTAAAGTGTAACTTTCACATTTAAGGCCAGAGTAGCTGATTGGAGAGAATTTTTCCAGTTTGGCTGTTTTTGATCTTAAATATGAATTCACTTTGAATTCTCACTTTATCACAAGTCAAATATATGCCATATCAGATGAGGAAAACCATAAAAAAACACAGTAGGTGTTAGGAATCAGCCTGAACTGGGATCCTCAGATGATGTAGAACTACAACTCCCATGTTGTTTTGCAATGTCTTTACAATGGCAAAGCATCATGGAAGCTGCAGTTTTAAAACCTCTGGGGATCTATGTTTTAGGCACCCTTGATATACAAGATTTTTTTTTTTTTTTCAAACTTTTGCCCTCCTGATGTTGCTGAACTACGACTGCCCTGATTATCTAGCTATCTAGTAAATTCAAAAAATCATGGGAGTTTTAGTTCAGCAACATCTAAAAGGGCTAGCGTTTGTAGAACCCTGCTAAAAAGTAATGCAGGAGCAATAGGTCTCATCACTGAGCAGTAGCTGATACCCCTCTAGACACAGTGAGCACGGAATCCATGTCTGGATTACCCTTTTTAGTTAGGGAGACCCATAGCAAATGCATTAAAGAAACCATATTAAAAAATGGGTAAAAGCTCAGATGAATGCTATAACTTGCTCTTTGGTTAAAGTGGCTCTGTCATCTCAAACTTGTCTTTCTCCTATTGTTTCCTCTTCTCTTCCAGAATCTGTTCTTTTCTTCATTTCTGATCTACCGTGTATATACTCGAGTATAAGTCGACCTGAATATAAGTAGAGACCCCCTAATTTTACCCCAAAAAACTGGGAAAACCTATTGACTCAAGTATAAGACTAGGGTGGGAAATGCAGCAGCTACTGGTAAATTTCTAAATAAAATTATATCCCCCAAAAATTATATTGAATATTTATTTACTGTGTGTGTGTGTGTGTATGTATGTATGTATGTATGTATGTATATATATATATATATATATATATATATATATATATATAATATAACGAATGCAATGTGTGATGCAGAGCTTTGGTGGGCATTTTTATTTATTTTTTTTAAAATTATTTTATTTAAATCTTTATTTACATTTATGTTTATCTGTCCTCCCTGCTTGTTAGCTGGCCAGGGAGGGGGGGCTCTCATTCCCTGGTGGTCCCGTGGCATTGGCTGTGTAGGAGGGGGCTGGCAGCGAGCTGTAACTTACCTTCTGTCAGCTCCCTTCTCTCTCGTCCGGTCAGCTCCACTGTAAGTCTCGCGGTCTGAGTGCCGCGAGACTTGCAGTGGAGCTGACCGGACCGGAGGAGAGAGAAGGGAGCTGACAGGAGCTGCAGGAAAGGTAAGTTACAGCTCACTGCCAGCCCCCAACAGGACAGGCGGTCCTGGTCTGTATTATGGCAATGTAAGTTGCCATAATACAGACAGTGACTAGAGTATGACGGGTGAGGGTTTTTCAGCACAAAAAATGTGCTGAAAAACTCTTCTTATACTAGAGTATATACGGTATTTCTCTCTAAAACATAGGACAAAGTATGAACTACTTTCTTATGTATTTTTCCTATGCTTGACCATTGTGACAAAATGGTGGAGCTTAAAGGGACACTCCAGGTACCCAGACCACTTCTGCCCATTGGAGTGGTCTAGGTGCCAACTCCCACCACCCTTAACCCTGCACGTGTATTGCAGTTTTTATAAACTGCAATAAATACCTTGCAGGGTTAAGTCCTCCTCTAGTGGCTGTCTATCAGAGGTGGGAGAGTGTGGCACTGCAGTGCCAGGAAACTGGATGTTTTCCTGGCACTGGAGAGTCTCTTTAAGGAAGCTCCAATTCCTCTGTTATCCTAACAAAGGGTGAAGCTTGCTCTTAAAGGACCACTATAGTGCCCTGAGGGTGCTCCCACCCTCAGGGACCCCCTCCCGCCGGGCTCTGGGGAGAGGAAGTGGTTAAACACTTACCTTTCTCCAGCGCCGGGCGGGGAGCTGTACTCCTCCTTGCTCGCGACGTCATCGGCTGAATGCGCATGCGCGGCAGGAGCCACGCGCATTCAGCCGGTCGCATAGAAAAGCATTAACGAAGCTTTCCTATGGACGCTTGCGTGCTCTCACTGTGATTTTCACAGTGAGAAGCACGCAAGCGCCTCTAGCGGCTCTGGAGGCTGGATTAACCCTCAGTATAAACATAGCAGTTTCTCTGAAACTGCTATGTTTACATAAAAAAAAAAGGTTAATCCTAGAGGTACCTGGCACCCAGACCACTTCATAAAGCTGAAGTGGTCTGGGTGCCTAGAGTGGTCCTTTAAGATCCACCCTTTGTCAAGATTGCCAACTGTAGTAAAAATACATAGTCCCTAATTTTCAAACTGTTTAACACTGTCAAAGGGTCCCTGGCACACCACTAGATTAAAGGACTACTATAGTGCCAGGAAAACAAACTGGTTTTCCTGGCACTATAGTGTTAATAGGTCCCCTCCACCCTCATGGCTCTAGGGGGAGGAAGGGGTTAAAGGCTCCCTTGGCGCTGGGGACTCTCCGACGTCATCGACTGAATGCGCATGCGCGGCAAGAGCCCCGCGTGCAGTCAGTCCATAGGAAAGCATTCTCAATGTTTTCCTATGGACGGCAGCGTCTTCTCACTGTGAGAAGCGCCTCTAGCGGCTGTCAATGAAACAGCCACTAGAGGCTGGATTAACCCTGTTTTAAACATAGCAGTTCTCTGAAACTGCTATGTTTACAGCTGCAGGGTTAACCCTAGAAATGGAAGAAAAAGGTGCACAAGCAGCAGGGATGACCGCAGCCTGGAGAGGATTGTCAGGAAAAGGCCATTCAAATGTGTTGGACTTTCACAAGGAGTGGACTGAGGCTGGAGTCAGTGCATCAAAAGCCACCACACACAGACGGATCCTGGAGATAGGCTTCAGATGTCGTATTCCTCTTGTCAAGCTGCTCCTGAACAACAAACAACGTCAAAAGCGTCTTACCTGGTCTGTTGCTCAGTGGTCCAAAGTCCTCGTTTCTGATGAGAGCAACTTTTGCATCTCATTTGGAAACCAAGGACCCAGAGTCTGGAGGAAGAATGGAGAGGCACACACTGCAAGATGCTTGAAGTCCAGTGTGAAGTTTCCACAGTCTGTGTTGATTTGGGGAGCCTTGTCATCTGCTGGTGTTGGTCCACTGTGCTTCATTAAGTCCAGGGTCAATGCAGCCGTCTACCAGGAGATTTTGGAGCATTTCATGCTTCCTTCTGCAAACGAGCTTTATGGTGAGCCTGACTTTATTTTGCAGCTGGACTTGGCACCTGCCAAAAGCACCAAAGCCTGGTTCAATGACCGTGGGATTACTGTGCTTGATTGGCCAGCAAACTTGCCTGACCTAAATCCCATAGAGAATCTATGGGGCATTGCCAAGAGTAAGATGAGCAACAGGAGACTGAACAATGCAGAAGAGCTGAAGGCTGCTATTGAAGCATCCTGGTCTTCCTTAAAACCTCAGCAGTGCCACAGGCTGATAGCTTCCATGCCACGCCGCATTGAGGCAGTAATTGCTGCAAAAGGGGCCCAAATCAAGTACTGAGTCCATATGCATGCTTAAACTTTTCAGAGGTCCGATATTCTATGTACACTCCTTGTTTTATTGATTGCATGTAATATTCTAATTTACTGAGATTGTGGATTTGGGGTTTTCACGAGCTGTAAACCATAATCTTCGCACCCATGACAAATCACGGCTTGAACTATCTTGCTTTGCATGTAATGCGTCTATCTCATAGTTTCCCCTTTTACATTGCATTACTAAAATAAATTAACTTTTGCATGATATTCTAATTTTTCGAGTATCACCTGTTTTCACAAAGAGCAGGTAGGTATTGCTCAATCCTAAAAAGTTTAGGTGGTATGTTCCCCACCAAGGAATATGAAAGGCCAGGTCCTCCTGAACAAATCCTCCAGGATTCAGACAGGAAGGTCCAAAATAAAATTTCAATATTTTTATTTGTAAATAAAATAATAAAACCAAAAGTATAACAAAACACTAGTAAAACACACGTTTTGCCCA